GGCCCAGCAGATGGCGTGGCGGTTGTGTCGTTGGGCACATGTGCATGCGTGGCCACGATCCCAGGAGAATGGAGAAGGGATTGCGTTGTGGCCACCCCCCCTCAGGGGTGATTTCTCACTTTCTCTCTCAGTCTCTGTCTCTCTCCAGCATGCATGCTTTCTTTAAGGCAGAAAACCCAACAACTCAGAAGTGCCCAAGTGGGTATCAGGAAGCCAACAGGTTTGACAGGAGTGGGGAGACCAAGGCAGGAGAGAGTTTGAAGATTAAGATGGGACCATGACCAGATGGACTGGTCACTCGGGAAACATTTGCTGCCCTCCTGCTGTGACCAGGCACAGTGCCAGGCTCTGTGGCCTGGCCATTCCCTGAATGAATCCAGATCCTTCCATATGGAACACACAGGGTAGCAGCTGGTGTACCCGGTGTGCTGGGTGCGAGGAGTCTGAAGCTGATAACATACACAATAAATGGTGTTTGACAAAGATTACGCCGGCAGGGTGTGTAGGAAGGGGGAAAAGCCTGGGTGGGAAAGGACAGTATGGCAGCTGCTGTGGGAATTGGGCCAAAGGGGAAATCTACGGGCTGCAGTGGAAGAAGAAAACAGAAAATGAGCAAATAATACATTTTGAAATGAAGACAAAAAAGGGGAAAAGCTGGAGAATTAGGCAACAGGTTAGTTGTAGGATGGTGAAGGGAAAAAAGTAGTTTCAAACTGCTCCTTCGTAGGGGTCACGGTGGGTGAGGAGCTGCTGGGGCAGGAGGAATTCCGTCCCTTCTAGGCCGTGTAAGGGCGTGTGTCCTGGAGTCTAGACTTGGAACTGGGAAGTCCAGAAGGGCAGTGGGCTGTCTTTTGAATGTCCCTGTCACAGCTTCAGAGCCATCACAGATCCAGGACACCACGGATTTCATGCATAAGTAGAAAGGCTGGGGGAAATGACGGCAGAAGCATTGCAACTGGCTGTTTCTGGGAGCCTTGGCTGGGTGAGAGCCTGCTGGGAGGTGGTCCATGGTCCAGGCGCACTGGCAGCCCTCTTCTGACCGCTGGCTACAGAAGGTGCCAGAGATGCTGTCAGATGGGCTGGGCTGGGGGCCGGTGCGGCCAGGTGAGGCACTTCAGCAGCCTGGGGTCCCTCCCCCAGCCCCACCCTGGAAGGCCCTGGAGCCCAGGACTGTGCTGCTTGCCAGGGCCTTTCCGGGAACCCTGCAAGGGTGGAGGAGCCCCTCCCTGCCTGCCCTGGCACTCTCCAGGCACACAGTGTCCCTCCAGGCACCTTGCAGGCCTAGGGGGCTGGGACAAGAGACAGATCCCCACCCCACCCAACCCCCAGGAAGAGCCCTGTTCTGGGCCACTGTCATCCCCACAATGCCACCACCCTCCCCCCAAGACCACAAGAGACAGTGGGCACTGAGGAGGAAGAAGAAACTTGTGGCTGGGTGGAAGCACTGTGGGTCTTTGCTGTGGCTTCGGTTGGGCGGGTGGGGAAGGCAGAAAAGCAGGGTCTCAGGCTTCGAAAGCCCAAGGCACCTGCTTCTCCCGCCCTCCGAGGAAATCTTCAGGGGCCTCGGTGGTTTTGAGGGGAGGGGACAGGAAGAGACTCTGAACTCTGGGTCAGCTGAGGACAGAGATGGGGAGATCGGCTCGCCCTGTATCCCATTTTCTCCTAGGATCCACTTCCTCTGCTCCCTACTCCACCACCACCCCAGAACAAACTCCTACCTCCATCGTCAACTGAGAGTTAATCACCCCCACGAGGACTCCGGAGGCGCCCTAGAGCCTCGGGACTTGGGGAAATGGGCCATGTACACAGCAGCTGTAGGCCCGGCCACACCTGTCGTTGCGGTGAGAGCGTGCCCCTCCCAGGTGGACAGACCCGGCTCGGCTCCGGCTAGGGGCCGGGAGC